GCTAAAAATTAGCAAATGTGAAAATACGTGATGCAGCCTCTTCAAGTGCACAACTATCCGTAACAGCAACAGGCCAAGATTGTGATGCAACAAAATCAGATTGTGCCTCTGTATGACGCATGTTCGAAACACATGCCTTATAGAGTTCTGGCATATAATAAGGACATGTAACCATTGAGATGTAGATGCAAACCGAATTCAGACTCTCGCTCTGTTGGTTAGTTTTCATGGACATGACATACTTGTCGCACAAAAGGTCGCAGCCCACAACCTCGTCTTTCTATACATTCTATTCAACCAGTATTTGTTCCTCGAAGTACCTGACGGATCGCTTTGATCATTGCATTGTCACTGTTTGTTATTATCGACTTTGGTTTTACCCGACATATCGCCCTCAAAAAAGTACGATGCTCCCAAATGTACGAGTCAGGACACTCATCAGACACAAATATCCAAATATGGTGGTTTGGCGATGGTGGTTAAGTCCCACAAATGTAACAAAAGGCATCTTGTACCTATTCATCCGGTATGTACTGTCGAACACAACAACATCAACAAATGACCGGTAATCCACTCGGGACTGCCCGTCACACCAAAACAGGTCCTTCAGACGGCCTTCTTTGTCAACTCGGAACTCAAGAAAGAACTCTGGATCCTTATCCTTCCTAGCCTTCAATGCTCGTATTGTAGCATTTGCATCTCCATCCACAATACCCAACCTCTTGCACCTAGATGAGAAATTTTACAGGTCCTTATCGATAAATCCAGCGCCCGCTCTGTCACTACTCATGCACTGAAAGACATCCATTATGTGATGCTTACGAAGGCCCATCGATTCCATCATTACTATTTATGATTTCTGATGGTCTTTGATTTTCCCATGGGAACGAAGAAATCGGGTTTCATCTGGACTTGTTAATATGTGGTTGTGGTCATCTACAAAATTGTCCACAAACTAGATTCCACGCTGCTTATCAAGTCTAATGCTCAGCACAATACTCTCGAGTCTCAGCTCTTTACCTTCTTTTTCGGTCCTTGATGTCCCTCATGGCTGGATCACGAATCCCTTTCTTTGAGCAAACAAATCTCGTATAGAAAACCTCTCCTATTTTTTCCTCATGCCTCATGATATCATTCCTAATGTTGAACCGTTTGTTTTTAGCGTATGCATTATAGAAGTTATAGGAGTCTTCTTCACTTTCAAAGGTCATCTTGACAATTTTCCAATACTCATCTAGAGCCTCATTTTCTGCCCCCAAATTACAAAACATACCATGAATGGCTTCAGACTCATGAGATCCTATCACATTGTTATTTTCCTATCATAAAATATAAGCAGGTTACCTATCAGTTCAGTTCATAATGATTTCTATCCCTATCACACATAAACTTCAACATAAGTAAACCAATTATAACATAACAATCTGACCTCCAAATCAGTTTACCTATCAGTTCAGTTCATAATGTTGCGGTTGTCAGACGTATTGTATCCAAATAAATCACCACGCAAATCACCCATCCCATCTTCACTGCTAGTAGCAAAAATGAAAATATGAAAAAACAACAAAGAACTACATATTGCAAAGGATGTATAGCTCATAGAAAGGGTACACTCAAATCTGATGTGCAATGACATCAAGGTTTCGAAAGTTCGTTCATTTCCCAACATGAAATTTTATTTCCATTAGTTGTTTCCATCAGCTTTTATAATTGTCAAATTTTGCACCTGATGTAATTGTAAAGTTGTAACAATCCCTACCAAGTGTTATTTTATGATTTGCAAAACGCTTGTATACAGAGGAAAGATTAAGCCTTCAGTGTGCAAATTATTAACAACTTTTCACCGGAATTCTTATCAAGAGAGCCTGATGTGTAACTTATTCAAGCTCTTGTAAACCCAGTACCACACACCTTCTGGTGGCCGAGCATCAATCTAGGCTATTTAATTTCAAGTCTTAACCACTTGCTGATTTTGTGAGCCATACAAAATTGCTCATGGAAAAAATACAGTAATAGTCAGAGAATAGACTGATGGAAACAACTAATGTTGCTGTTTATTCTGGTGAACGAATTCTAATCAAGTAGCTACATCTACTTTCACTACAGGGTTGTTTATCCTACAAGAGAGGAAAACACTCTTTCTCTATTACAGAGTATCTCTGGAAGCTCTTACCAAATGCAGAAATTCTAAATGAGAGAAGAAACGCACCTGCCAGAGTCCATGGAAGACCGGCGACGGGGCCAGCAGCTCGAAAGTCGAAGGCGCACCAGCAGCGGCCTCCGAGGAAGAGAACGTCCGGCAGCGTCAGATGAGGAGGCTGCAGGAGGACCCCGGGCTGCCGGCGAGGAGAGACCGGCCGGAGGCGTGCGAGCTGGAGACCACGGAAGGGGCTGCAGTAGGATCCGGGGCTGCCGGCAAGGAAGCGACGTGGAGGGGGGTCGCGGTGAGGAAACTTGGTTACGGTTGCGTCGGCGGCGGAGGTCTGCGGCTCCAGGGAGTAACAAGGAGGCGCGAGCGGAAGGAAGAGGATGGGAGGCGCGAGCGGAAGGAGGGGGTTGTGGGAGTACCCTGGGCTGCCGGAGACGCGGAGGGGATCGCGGCGAGGAACATGAGGGGTCGAGGAGAGATCGTGGCTTCGCTTTTTTTCTCTCTCTCCCTTTTAGGTCGTGGCTTCGCTGGAAACTGAAGGGGACACTGATTCTTCAACGCAAAGGATTCGATCCCCCCCTCCCTCGCGTCGCCCCTCTCGGGCGGCTCGAGGGCGACAACCCTAGATCTCGCCGCCTCCCCCCTTCCTCCCCTCCCTCCTCGCCGCCACCAGAGGCATCCGCCGGGCAATCCTGGGACGTCGCCAAGGAAGGTGGCGGCGGGGCCTCTGCTGCTCCGTTTCTCCAGGGGGGGGGGGGCGTCGGAATCCGGGGCGGCGGCCTCGTTCGGTGAGGTGCCACCGTCTCCTCGGCTGGTGGTGGCGCGGGTGTGGTCCGGTGGGCTTGGCTGCGCGGGCAGCAAGCTCCCCGGCGGACGAGATCCGCGGCGCCGGCGGTGGGGCTTCTGGCCTCTTCGGCTCCGGATCTGGCCGCCCCTTCCCCCTTCTACTGCCCTGCGTGCTCCACCCCTTCAGATCTGGTCCGGGTCGACTTGGTTCTCCGGTGCCTGGAGCTGGATGTGGTGTTGGTGGTGTGGACCCTTGACCGGGAGAAATCCATGGCGGCGACGTCCATGGACGCCGCTCCCCTTCTTGGAGGCGCCATTCAGGTCTTTTGCTCCACCCTCCCCTTCCCCTAGCCTCCCGGGTGAAAGCTCGAACTTTGTTGGGCGGCGACGGTGCTCTTGGCTCCGTTTGCTTCTTGAAGTCGTCGCCTTGGATGCTTTTTGGATTGTGGGCACTACGGTGTGGTGGTTGTCGGGCGGCGGCGACTGTGTGCCCCAAGTGGCGGCGGCGGCAGCTTGGCAGGTCCGGCAGTGTTCGGGTTTCTTCTGGTGCTCTCTGTGCAACTGGTGACAGCTTGGTCCGGCGGCCTCTGGCCAGGAGGGGATCGGGTTCCCCTCCTCCGGCGGTTACAGTAGTGCAAGTTGTGAGTGCCGGAGCGTCATTCCTCGGCCTTGGCCCTGCCTCCTAGTTGCTCCGTCCTCCCTGGACACCCTGTTGTTGTCTGACCGACATCTTTCTCCTCTCCAAAGGATCGTCAGTGGGCAGCGATGATGCGGTGTTTCTGGTGAAGTTTCTTAGTCATGTAGGGTGTGCTATGTTCCTACTCCTTCTAGTTGCATCCTTCCATCCATGTTCTTGGGTGAGCAACCCATATGTCGACGGTTCGGCACCTTTCGAGCCAGGCGAGGAGGCAGGGGCCTCTTTCGACAGTGGGAATGGATGGTGATGTTGTTCTAGGGCTTTGGTGTTTGGTGCCGTCATAGCCTATCCTCGACAGCGGGCGCTTCCCGGAGCCCCATTTCTCCTTCCCTGGTGAGCCTTGGGTGGACGAGGGCCGCTGCGTGCTTCAGCTCATGCTTATCATGTGCTATCTCCTAGCTGTAGTGTGTGAGGTTTTGAGAGTTGCCTTCCAGCACCCTTGTATCTTGCCGTGTTTTGTTTTTTTGTTTGTTCGAGTTTGTATTGCAGTGGTTGTAATCCTGGCCGGTTGATGGCTTTGTTAATTCAAAGCCGGGCTCTCCTTGAGCCTTCGTTCTAAAAAACTGAAGGGGACACTTTTTGGAACTAAATATTGATTGATAGGGACAAAAGGACGAAACAACCTTTGCTAGCACTAAGCTGGTTGTTTAAAACCTCTAGTAATCAGAGCCATTGATACGCTTTAATCTTCCTGGAAAAAACTTCCCGAAAGCATAGAAGCAGACCTCGTGTTTCATTTCTAGATAAATTAATTAATTAGGAATGTATCACAAAATTAACACAACACCATAGTTGCAAATTGCAATATCCCCGTAAACAGACCTAACCATACGGTGAATTTGTATCTAAATAATACATTTAGACATGGTTTCAACTTTCCATTCCTCTCGGCCTTATCTCGATCCTTTGCTGGGTGTAATCGGTATCTTCGCGATATTAATATATTCCCTTTTTTGAAAAGAAAATCTCGATCTCTTCTATGTTAATCTGGCATACCTACATGGCCTTCTGAACCCTCTAAACACAACATTTTTTCTCCTTCCTCTCCAGACAATTCTCGTCCAGCTCTATGTTAATATCTTGCTCTATCCATCATCCATCGCTCCTCACGCTCGCCCCATCAGGTTTCAGCTGCTGCTTCAAACTTTGATTCTTCTCCAATGTGTCCACGAACATAGATGATCATTATCATCCATCAAGTTCCCAACCCAGTCACATAACAGAGATCACAAGTGCTTATGAGGCATGAGATGGTTGCAATCATGTTGCAAATGGCAGCGAAGCAGGACCCCTACAGCTTTTTGGTTTTGGTTCTGAGATGTGTCTGTACAAATGTATACCACCAATGCACCCTATATACAAGATAGGCTACATAGCCTCTATCGAAGCTGAGAGGTTCTTGGTGTTCATGATGACGTCCACGTCACCCACAACATCTATGAGTGAGCCGCCACCTCGCGGAATCTACAGGACGAAATAGTAAGGCTCAATGTCTAGAAAAGAGGATGGCGCCCGGCTTTAAAAAATGAAGCCCTTACAAGCAACGATACAATTCAACACAACACTGAAAGACACAAGAAAAACAAAGAGAAAACTCTAGCATTATATAATGGAGCTCAGGAGCAGCAACAATGTCCAAAAAGCAAAGACAACTAGACACTGCAGCCCTCAAACATCATTGAAGGACCAACACCGCGAAGGAGGCCACCTCGCAAGGGATGCCAGCCGTCTTTGGAAGCTATGTCATCGCCATCGCTTGCACGTCTGGCGCACCAGCGCCATCCAGTTCCATCACCGAAAGGTGGCCCCTGCTCGTCGCCCTCGCTAGAAGGGCGCCGCAACGTCGGACGATGGAATGCTCACCTCCCTAGAGCGCAGCTGCACACTGATGCCAAGAACCCAAAGGGGGTCAGTTGAACTGTGTTGTGGTGTGTTGCGCTTATAAATAATATGTTTTGTAGAATTAGCCACACAAGTAGGCAAAAGGAAGTCGAATAAGCACTACAATAAGCAAATATATATGTTTGGCAAACAAAAATCACATAAATCTTAACTCACCACAATGCTAAACGCAGCCTAAATTATTCCCTAGATCATATCTCAAATCTAAACAAAAGAGAAGGTAAAAGTAAACTCGTCGACGAAGAAGCTAAGTTATAATGTCGGTTTGCTAACATTAAGTTCGGAGAAACTTTTGTAGATCTCAATCACCTAATTTCGCGTTTGGTGGCGAAGAAAAAGATTACAAGGCTTATAGAAATGACTGGATTTTAGCCGTAAAATTATGCCAGATGGGAGCACGAAAGCAAAACCTGGAGTGAAGGTGAAAGTGTGACTGGACGAGTCCTCCAATCCGTAGTACTGGTAGCCACCAAACCCGTGCCACAGAGCTATCATGTACTTCTTGGCGCCGCTATGCCTCTCCAGCGAGAAGCTCTTCTTGCCCGGCCGGTCGATGCCAATGTCAGAAGAGATATATTTTGATGCGCACATACACTTTCGAACGGTAAAAGTTGTGCAACAAAATAAATTACCAGCTTGCCGCCGTCGAGAAAGACGGGGCAGTCGCAGAGTCGGGAGAAGAGCTCCTTATTCGTTTCTCCTTCCCGGCGGCGCTCATCACCGGCAGCACTACACCGCGCGAGGATGTCGGTGCAGTCCGCCGGGAGGAAGCTCCCCCAGACCTGGTCGGAGTCGGCAGCCGCCCGGAGCGCGATGGCGGTGGCCGCCAGCCTGCACGCGTCCCCGGGGGAGGTCAGGGACGCGACCAGCGCCAGGCAGTCCGCCGGGAGGTCGCAGATGCCTGTCACCATGGATTAGTTTTGCTATCGTCCATCCTGGAGGGATGATAAAGCGACATGTAATACGCTTCGCTGGTATAACAACACATGGTGTTGCCAAGATGACAACATCGCCTGCTCTGATCTGCGACTGAGCTATGGCTGTGGCTGGCAATGGCCACATAGTGACGACATATATTCCTGACGCCAATTTGGTTAGCACCTGACGACACAGTGGACTAGTGTGATACGTGTACTCTTCTATTTTCTTATTGGCCAAGCATAATTTTTAGCCTCGTGGGTCATGGAAGAGAAAGAAAAAGAGACAAAATTTGCAACTGCTTGAAAGAAAAATAAAATTGTTGGGTTGTGGCCTGTACACCAAAAACTTAAAATGAAGATGCATAATGTATCACAAATTAAGATGTAAATTACAACAATATACTACTCCCTCCTATTCATATTACTTGTCGCTAGTATAGTACAAAGTTATACTAGAGTGCAAAGTTGCACAAACATGGTGTTAAACTAGTAATTTTAAAAAAAAAATCATCTGAGATTGATTCCTCAACGTTTACAAGGCAAAAAAAACAGCACAACGTCAGGTTGAGAAATCGTTTGAGATTGCAAACAAAAAAAGGAGAGAAAGTTTTTCACTCAGAGCAATTGTTTGAAAAATGTTATTGTTTCAGTGGCAGCAACGACGGGGCCAAGGGGAGGGATTTGTAGCACGCAGGAGCGGGGCACGCAACCCCTTTTTCTTTTAGCTTTCGGTTTCATTCTTTCATATCCTTTGAACCAAAAGTTTAAATCAAGTTTGGTTTGCATATTCGTGTTACTGGTGACGAGGGCCTTCAAATGAGATCCATTTTGGATATGTTTTGCCGAGTTTTTGAAACTTCGTTAGGTTTCTACCGCTGAGACTTCGTACGAGTGACCAACAAAATCATAAGTTTCAGAAATTGCAACCAAAAAAATCTTATGTTTTAGAACAAATGACCAAGAAAATCGTAAGTTTACGAAACTAGAGCTAAAACTTGTCATGAACTCGTGCAAGAACCAACGACTTTGCAGATCGTGAGGCAATCGGGCGGCCGACACATCGGGGCAGGTGTGTGCCCCTGTGAGTTCTGCAAGACCAAGCAAGGATAGCCGCCATGCACGAACAGGTGTGCCTCCTCCAGAGAGAAAAAAAACAGGTGCAACTAGAGTTCCTCCTTAGGGCTTTCCACCGCCAGTTCCCTCGCTTCCAGGTGCCTTCTCGCATCGGTGAGGTGGTGTGAACCCGGTATGCGGTGTGTGCGTAGTCTCTGATCGCCCAACTTTAATTAGGGACTTAGGGTAAAGACTAGGTGTCTAGATGGTGGTGGTGAGGCAATGGTGCCATTAGCGGCGTCGAATAAGACCTCCCCGTCCCCTCCTCGTTCCAAGGATGTTGTTTGGCATCGGAGGTGGGCATGTGGAGCTTTAGTACATTTTTTCGATAAAGGGAGCTTTAGTACATGCCTCATTTTATCTTTACCTTGTCAATGTGACTGACGATGTCCTATGGAGGCGATGATGTCATTATGTTATTTTGTTCTCCAGTGGCTTTTCCACCCGATGAAGCTAAGATAGATGTTCCTTGGTCGGGGAACTCACGAGGATTGAGTCACTCTCCTCTGTCCGGCCGGATTTGAGATTATCTACTGGCTCTCCTTGGTGTCAGCTTCTCCAAGACTGTGATCTGTCAAATGTGGTTGTTGGCGTCTCTGAATTGTAACCTTCTTGATGACTTATAATCATAATTTGATGACTTTCATGGTGTTAGCTTCTCCAAGATTTGACAGATCACAATCTTAGAGAAGCTGACACCAAGGAGAGCCAGATAGATGCGCCTCGGTCGAGGAACTCATGAGGATCGAGTCCCCTCCCCTTTTCTGCCGGATTTGAGATCATCTTCTGGCTCTCCTTGGTGTCAGCTTCTCCAAGATTTGAGATTATATTCTGGCTTATAGTCGTAATTGTAATCTCCTTGATGGTACTGCAACTTGATGACTTCGATGGTGCTACTCAAGCATCAGGTCGAGAGCTCTGGGGTGAAAGTCTTGGTCTGACCCGAGCTGGTTATACCTGGCAATGGCGATGTTTTTATATAGTTACATTGTTGAAGGCATTGCTCAGATATGCTCAAATTGATTCTTCGGGGTGAAAACCTAGATCCTAGCCTTTGGTGGTTGGATCCGGTGACAATGATGCTTGAATGCCGCTTCCTTCTTGAAGGTGTTGCTGTTAAAAAAAATTGTCGTCTGTGTGGTGTGATGAGATGGATGGTGTGGATATGGTCATTGTTTTAGTTTGCCGATTATGGATCTGATCTCTTTGGACTTTTTTACTTTTCCTCGCTTACGCATAGCCTTGGTCTAATATGACTTTGCTATTGTTGTCGTGTTTTTTGTGTGCGTGTGTTGGTGTTAGATGTGTGCATTCTATCTATGCAGAGGCCGGGTGTGAGCTCTTAGGGTATGTATTCTCTTGATGCTCCTTTTTGAGCCAATAAAATTCACCCTTTGTTGAAAAAATTGTACTTCACAAGATTTTTTTTCTACAAAGTTGGCCAAACTTAACAAAGTTTGATTTCAGAATTTCTTTTATATGAGGAGTAAAAAGAACCAGAGGGAGTACACACTCACAATACATCTACCGAGCACTAAACCATGTGGGACGTCAAATCCAAAGTTTTGATCAACTTGCGCTTTCTTCAACCTACCGACGACTGTCGCCACCGTCCTCCCTCCTTCCATGTCAACCGCTCTTCAGCACTAGCCCACTAGGCCACTACCTCAGGAATAATATTCTCCATTGCATAGATCTGATCTGATATCAAAGAAAACACGTATGAGGTTGTTCACAGGTTGCTATGAAATCACATGAGCTCATAACCTGGGCACCGCCCTGACCGGCGCCCTTGGCCGGCCGGCGCTGGTAAGGGAAGGCGCCGATCTCCCCTTCGATCCTGCCCCGGACGTCGACGAGCAGGCAGCGGAGCCTGGCCGCCTCGGCCTCGAGCGCGGCGTGGTCCTGGACCTTCTTGGTGAGCTGCTCGTTCATAGCCCTCAGACGGGCTGCCTCCTCCTGCAGCACCGCCGTGTGCTCCTTCTTCTTCTCGCGGTACTTGCGCACGGCTGCCCGGTTGCCCAAGGGGCGGCGCTTCTTGCTCCGGGAGGTGGCGTGGGCGTCCTCGAACTCGGCCGGGGTCTCGGCGCCGGCGTCAGAGGAGGCGGAGGCGGCGAACTTGGAGTGGACGTGGAGGCAGGTGTGGGTGTGGGGGAGGTGGTGGGCGGGCGGGTTGCAGGTGTGGGTGTGGGTGCAGGCGACCTGCTCCGTGTCCATGAGGATGTCGTCGAAGTAGCTGCCCATGGAGGAGCAGTCGAGGTTCCCGTCGTCCATGGCCGCGATTAGCAGCAGCTTGGCTTGGAGATGCTAAATTAAGCTGTACTCACGTGCTGCTTGCGTGCAATTCTCGTTTTATTTTTGAGAAAGGTGTCGACATGATGAGAAATACTGCAACATGGACCAGAAGAATCCCTCAAATAATTTTAAAAAATGGACCAGAAGTAGCAACCGACTTTCATCTATATATTCGCCTTTTTTCAGAGGAAAAAGAGCCGGTAGGGAATATTACTGAGAGGGAGGTGACGAATGCCTGCCATGGCCCCGCCCCCACCGTGCCTTTGCCACCGACGTGGTCACACCACCTGAACCAATGCAGCCGCGCACCCGAGAGCATTGCCGCCACACGGTGGCGCCAGGACCTCGCCATACGCCACCCATCTCCCATGCTCCTCCGTGAACCATCGCCGCTGTGAACGTGATCATATCGGCACATAGTGGCTAAGCTTGAGCGCCATTCTTTGAGGGGAGATGGGTCGGGGGAGATCAAAACAAGATTTTGGCCAATTTTCATTGGTTATCTGGGGTAGTCCAACAAAAATTTCCTAGACTAGAGGGCCGAGTATGTTGGTAAAAATCTTTTAGATGGTTTGCTGGATATTTGCAAACTGGAGGAGGAATCATGAAGAACACACCTAGAAGCTCCGATGTTAGAATCACAAATCATAGAATATTAACTATTAGGACCGTAGAAATGTAGATTCTATGAACTAAAATCATAAAACTGGATGGGTTAGTTTGGATCATAAAGTCATAGGATCGCATAAAGGAATCATGATTCTGACAACCTTGGACACAAGTAGCATTCACTCAAGAGGCATAAGAGCCTCAAGCCAACCATACATCTCACGAATAAAGTTTATTCGACCGGTCCAATCGATCCAACAACTCGCATGGGAGAAAGGTGACAATGAAGGATAATCCATTCCCAAATCCTAAGAGATGAAGTTCTTGAGCTCCACAGAGCCTTAGGGGTCTTGAATTTCATAGGAGTCCTCTACACAAGAGGAATGCTTGATCCCACTACAGGATGCATGAGCAAAACTCGTTCGAGTTCTTAATTTATGCTTTGATAATTCTCACTAGTAGAAAAAAGGGTCAAACGTGAAGCACATTAGTGCCGGTTTGAATTTGAGCCGGCACTAAAGTGTGCATTAGTGTCGGTTCCAACGGCCAGCCGGCCGCTCTCATTAGTACCGGTTCGTGGCGAACCTTTAGCACCGGTTCGTGCCACAAACCGGTACTAAAGTGAGTGGTGGCAGGATGTTGTCAGTCCGGGGCCCCTCCAGCATCTTTAGTACCGGGTCGTATCATGAATCGGTACTAAAGGTCGTCCTACATAGACCCTTCGTCCACCCGAGCTCGCTCTGTTCTTCCCCTTTCCCCTCTCCTCTCTGTTCTTTTCCCTCTTCCTCTCAAGCTCATCACACATTTTGCCCAAAATTTGTCAAGATTTGAAGGCCCCCATCCATTCAAATGATCACAAAGGTTAGCAACTTTGTCCTTTCATCTCTCATTGCTAGATTAGCTCGTGCAATGCTTTATATAGTGATTGATTTTTGAGTTTAGTAATTTGGGAGGAATTATATATATGTGCTAGT